TCCCGGCACGGAGCCGCGCCCGGCCCGCCCCAGCCCTGCCCCGCCCGGCGGCCCCTCACGCTGGCGCACAGCGCCCCCTGGCGGCGGCAGTGAGGGCGGAGCGGATCGGGGCGGGCCCGGCCGCCCTCCTGAGGGGGAGAGGGAAGGAGGGAGGGAGGGAGGGAGGGAGGGAGCGCTGCGGCAGCGCGGGCGGCCGCCCCCGCCCCGGCTCCCCCTCCGCCGTTGCCATGGGCTGCGGTTGCCACGAGTTACCGGATGAAGGCTGGGCGGCCCCGCTCCCTGAGTAGCGGGCGCGGGGCGGAGCGGAGCGGCGGCCGGGCGCGGGGCGGAGCGGRGCGGAGAGMGCGGCGGCCCCAGGTAAGGCTCTGGCCCCGCTCCGCTCCGCGGCCCCGGGCAAGGCAGRGCAGGGCAGGGCGCGAGGAAGGGCCGGGCAGCGGGGAGCGCGGTCTGGGACGCTGCCTTTATTTCCCCGTTTTTTCCCCCGTKGGTCGTTTTGTCCTTTTTTTCCCCCTCTCCCCGTTTATTACGTCCTCCCGCACTCGCCGCTCGTGGCAGCGTTGGATTCCCGCGGACAGCCGGTGTTGTCGCTGCCGCCTGCGGGGCCGCCGCGCACCCACACCGGCGAGTGCGGAGCATCCACGGGCGCCCCGCAAGGCAAAAGCGAGCCCTACGGCCACAGTTCCATTTCTGTTTTACTAGGCCACTGGAATTCATTTCTAAGGAGGTTTTGTTCCAGAAAGCAAAGAAGCGACTTAACCCGTTATAGAGCATTTTTAACAGCGAAGTAGAGAATAACTGTCTCTCCTAAAGCGTTTAGGCCTTTCGTGAAAAGAATCAGCCTGAGACTGGAAATTATTATTTACATTTTGCAACCTTGTAAAAGCTGGGGAAGAAAGGTAAAGCCACCGGTCCGTAGCCCTGAGCCTAGTCCTGCAATTATAGGGAAAAGACACAGACCCATGCAAGGTTTATTCTTCTTTTTATCCATACCGTGTATAACAGAGCAAGTCACAAACAATGTGTTTTAATAATTCACAATAATGATATAAAAATTAAATATTCATCTGGAAAACAAATTCAGTATGCCACCTGTCAAAAAAAAGACATGGACACCAAAGTTTGCACTGTTAGACAGTGCAGAATTTAGAGTATAATTTTTCCTCAGTGTTTAAAGAAATACATTGCAATGTAAACCATTTTCATTACAAATACACCATCTTTCTGGAGTTTCTTTGCTATTTTTTTTTTGTAGAAAATGTAAAGAAGTGAAAACTCAACAATGTGTGTATACACAGTAAGTATATATATCTACACATATATATACTATTTATACATGTGTATACATATATTTTAAATATATATGTATACACATATTATAAAAATAATTGAAGAGTAAATTACATATGATAAGTCATACAGAGATTAGGATATTGATATTGAAATAAAGGAAACCTCACACAGGTTTAAGCATGAGCTAGAAAGTAGTAACTTGTTTTATTTCATTACTTAAAAGCTTTTAACTAATCATCATAAAAATGAGGATATAAAGTTATAAGCAAAAGATGAAGAAAAGCTTTTGAGTGCAGAATTATTGCAATTAGATATAAGGTAATCTGATTACTACTTCTAATTTATAAATTAGGTATTATCCTGTTTAGAAAAAAAAAAAAAAAAAAAAAAAAAAAAAAGCTAGCAGGAAATGTCAGCATTATTCAAAACTAAAAAATGAGAATCAAATTCATACCAGCAATCAACTGATCAAACTGCATGTCATAATGCTGAAAAATTACCAAATCATTTAAAGTAACGAAAGACACTTTAAAAAAATTAAACATTTAAATTTGTAACAGCTACATTTAATATTACAATGAAACAAAATGTCTTAAAGCCTTTATACATGGATATATACAGGTGATACAAAGAGATACATACTAGAGAGCATGGAGCACTTACTCTCCCCCACAACTAAGAAAAATTCCAGCAACTAGCTATACAAATAACATTCAAAAGATAAACATTTAAACAAATTTCTGTTAAAGCTGAAAAGAAAGTTGTAGTACTCTTAGAATTTTTAACAGGATGATGAAGAAAATATCAGAACAACAATATGCTACTAGAAAACATGAAAATATTTATTTCACAAACATTTTTATTTGGAAAACACTTGCTGCCATATTGTTGAGATCCTAGAATTAAAAAATAAAATCAGCCACAAAAACTCTCCAGACCTTGTATTTCCGTAATTTTTGTCAGCTACTGGGGTGGTTAGTAAGCTGGAACTATAAAGTGCTTCAAGAGTTTAGCTCAAGAAAGAAAAATCTACATTATGTTAAATAAAAATATTAATATCCTTCTCAACATTATTCCAGTTTTTGTTTTCATATATTTCCCATCTTTTAAATAAATCTGCTAAACAATTTTTTTTTGTTATGTTTCATCATAAAAAAAAATAGAAAAAAAAATCACATAATCAAAATCTCTGTCTGGCAATAACAGCTATTTGAAGCTACTTTTAGTGATAACTTGTTGCTTTCATTAAACATTATCACTTTTACATTAAAAACAGCATTGCTGCTGACTCACACACAAGCTGTGAGGGTGAATAGATACATTTGTGCAATTCAGTAAGACCGAGCAAAAAGAAACACGGGTATTTATCTTAGAAAGTGCTACCATCAACAAAAYACAGTGGCTTAAAGTAGTTGCCTAAGAGATGTTATTCTCAGGCTATTAAAACCTGTTTCTAAAATTACACAGATTCCCAGYTGGATGCTTTAAAAAAGCACGCCCACACATGTTTATGCTACCCCTAGCTGTCTATTTAATAATCTATTATTTCTGTAATTCACAGGTTTAAAATGCTCCTTCTTTGAAAGCAACCACAGAATTCTTAAAAAAAAAAAAAAAAAAAAAAAANAAGACATATATCCATTTCTACGACGGTAACTACCACACTGAAGTTAATGGGAGCTTTGCTAGGGTGATCAGACCCCCTAGCTCTTTTTAATAGCAGTTAAATGTCAAATATAAATACAACACCACAGTGAAACATATTCCTTTGACAGAATCTGGGACAAGACACTACGCAGCTGCTGTGAACAATAAAGAGCAAAACTGACGTTTAATCAAAATAAGTGTTGGTGGTTAAGAAGTTGTGTTCAAGCCTGCCTTTTGTTTGTGAAAAAGTCAATATTCCAACGTGTTAACTACAGCCACAATGAAACCAGCAGCTCCTGTTACTCACAGAGAGTGGAGAGGGCCACGTCCACCCAGGCTGTTGCAGCTTTGTGATTATCATCATCTCAGAGAGGGAGATACTCCCCGTTTCAGCTGCTGRACTAAAACACCTCTACCAGCATCTTCAAATATAGATGTCTAAAGTTAAACATGTCAGGTGAAATCCTGGCCTTAGCAAGGTCAAGGCAGTATTCAGCCATTGGTTTCAATGGACCTCATCCAGGATTTTCATTGGGAATGAGTATCCATAATGCCCTGGGAACTGAGAATYTCCAGCAAGCCTAGAAATTATGTAGTTTTTATTTATATTTCTAAACTTCTAAGCAACCATGCTCAAGAATTTTTGCCTTCAGTACTTACTCATGATAAAACCAGTCTTTCCATAAACATTACAGAAGGACCAGAGGAAGATGTATTTATATCTCAAATTGTCAGCAGCATATAGGTTGTATGAATGTTGTTTTGCTGATGTTGCTGAGCTACTTTAAAAAGTGAGTACCTTGGTAGGGTRTGTAATTTCATCACCAATGTCAAATGACTTGTAAAGATGAAACTTCTCTGATGCAAATTACTAAAAGATGCTTTGAATATGTTTGATATGATATACCAACTTTTAAGATGAGGAATTAAGTTAAGTTTATTTTTCAGATCCGAGACATGCACTCACTGAGGGAAATATTTTAACTGCCACGTATGTCCGAAGAGCATGACTTACCTAACACTGAGATTTTAATAGTCACAAAAACATAAATAGGTAACATGTAGACCAGCACCAAGATACATTTTTTAAAAAAAAATCACCAGAAAGGTAGTATCAAGGTCTGAGTGTTTTGGAAGGACATATGGTTGCATTAATGATAGGTCTTTTAGGTAAACCAGACAACCCTGTTTGTGTGGTACATGTAACCAGKAAAGAAAGCAAAAACTGCTCTGTACTGTCCTTAAGATAACAATACAGGAATGATTTTTCATGATTCTTCAGAAGCTGGGCTTGCTTTACATCCACATGAAATGCTGTCATCACTAGGTCCGAGCCCGGAGGATGAACTGCAGAAAAGGGGAGAGGGGGGGAGAAAAAAAAAAATAAAAGGAGGAAATTGGTTTTCACAACACACTCAAAGCCTGAGTAACAGAGGAGAACTTTAATTATCTCCAGTCACAAAGAGAGACAGGAAATTTGGACTTTTAATTAGCCATTTGGAGTGCAGTTGGATATTTTTTTAGCAAGATAATTTAAACGCGAATAATTCAAGTCTGACTAAATGAAATTCACATAATCAGAATGCAGATAATTGAATTTCTACTGCATTCATTAATTCAGTGTGGAGGTGTGTGTGAAGACTTCTATGATGAGCTGTCACAGCTCAATAAAATCTCAGTCAATTAATTTTTTCATTATCTTAGTATTACATCAACAAAAAAGTGAAGCATGTGCGTGTGTATGTATGGATATATAATCTCAGAAAGTAAGGATATACAAAAATCACCTCTCTGAATCAGAGTCTGCATCGTTTTTTCCTTTTTTTCTCTCTTCGTCTTCTATAGGAAAACGTCTGTTCAGAGAGGCAAAACTGTGAATCGCATCAGCAACAGAGTATTTGGTCTGTCCAGACACACAGGCCTCCATATCTTCTGGGCTTAGCTGAGTCTGTAAGAAGAGGTGAAGCCGACTATCTGAAAGCAGTAATGCATCCTGTAGGATCCTGGAAAAAGAAAAAAAAAAGGCAAATGTTTACATATAACCYGCACATACACATGTTTATTCTAAAGTGTTTTCCTGGAATAAATTCTAAATGATGTCYTGCTTTTAAAGTTTTCAGACGGATCCTAAATCAGTAACAGAAGGCAATGAACATATTAAAATGATTAGGTGAGTGTTACTTTCCTATTACATTATTTGGAATTTTAGGTGAGTAAAAACATGAAGCTAATAGTTAGGCACATCTGCTATTAGAATAACTTCAAGGACATTTCTTCCATTTAACCATCTGCTATTACCACATGGATCAATTAATGATTTTTACGCAGTTGGAGGCGTATACTCTTACAAAAATTTGGTCTCTTTTAAATAGCTACACTTCTGTAAAAATTAAAAGTCACTGATTTGTTTGGCGGWGTAAAGAAGTTTGTGGAGAGACAGTGCGAAGGCAGTACAGACTTCACACACTGCAACACCAGGACTTTGAAATACCTGTCAAYAACTGAGCCAACAGTAGCCAAAATTATTTACACTGTTACAAATATGCATATATTTAAGCTAGAATGAAAATGTTAATATTAAATGCTGACTTTAATTTACTTGCAGACAGTTTTCAGGAACACTTAAATTTTATTTGAATCCAGATATTATTTTCAAAAATTGGTTTTAAAATTTGGTTTGTATATATTTTAAATTAAGTCTTGAAATAAATTTAGCACAGCATATTAATTTACATCACATGAGAGTAAACAAAATACRGTACATTCTAGTAACACAGAAAGCTGTACAGAGACTTCTTTGAGGCTTGAGAATTGAGAATCATCATCACTATCTTGAAAAAAAAAGATGCAACTTTTCTTCCACATTTCTTTAAAGAAGGAATTCTTTAATATGTAAATCCTAGAATGATTAATAAGAAACATCTTTAATTTGTGCGTGTAATTGTACTCGTGTAATAAAGACATCAGAGGCTATGACCGCACCAAAGAATACTCCACAGAAAATCATTAAAATATTTTTAAACAACTCAAAGCTACTCAGAGTCAATATTTATGTATTTCTACCCGTTTAAGWTACAGTTTTTACCAAAAAAAGTCATTGCTGTGCAACAGGAAACAAGAGATGACATTAATGTAAGAACTAGTAAGAGCAGAGAAATACTGCATTTTAAAGGTACTCTGAYTAAAATGAAAACTGTAACTGATTAGTTCCTTCTCTTGAGTAAGATTAATGGTGTGTTTGGATTGTAATGTTTTAAACACAAATACATTCTGAAAACTRTTCTCTAAAGTGGCCAACATTACAACAACGTTTAATAAACACACAAAAGGATTTCTGGCTTCCTTCAAGCCTATAAATTTCTGTCAAATTAAAGAAGAGATATCCACATGAAACCACAAGATACTTGTGTGCATGCACATTTCACTTGCCTAGGTAAACACAAATGCAGTCTCAACCAAACAACTCCAACTCTGACACCTTCCATGAGGAAATGTCTCCARCAACCCTGATGAGGTACCAGGTGCAGGTGAAATTCAGTCTCAGAAAGACCAGATTTTGCTGAAGTTCAAAAYAAGCATGCTTTCATAACTAGAGAAAGGCTTTTTAATCCAATCCAAATTCTTGCAATTTTAATAGCAAATAGACATATGTAAAACCAATGCATGTAATGTGTTAATAGACAGAAAAACTTCTTTGTAGTCTAAAAGCCAGCAAAGGCTCTGTAAAAATGATTAAAAATAGAATTTACAGGTCCACACACCTTGACAGCAATGACTTCATGATTACAGTTTGAAAAGCCATCATTCAGCAGCCACTAAAAGAGGATTTCAGCCTTGAYGCTTGATAAACCCACTTTCCAAACAAAGAGAAACATTGCAACAAAAAATGAAAGTATCATTCCAGATAATTAATCCACTTTYGTAGCTTATGCAAACGGGCGAGTAATATTCTCCGTCTACTTCTCTTAAAAAAAAAAATACAAGCAAAAGAAAAGCARAAGCAAAACAAGGTGCTRGAGTTTCCTGYAGAGTAACTACAGTTACTGTTTTTCCCAGGCACAATGAGGGGAGGCATATTTCTGCAACTCTAACATTTGCGTGTCTAATGCCAAGTAACAGAGCAAAAAGCCAAGTCATTAAATTCTWTGAATGGCATTTAGTTTCACAAATTTTCCTCTTGCTGTATCTTCAAAAGTTTCCTGCCAACCAGTGAAAACACAAGTAACTAACTGTTCATGAGATTACACTACACTTACAGCTCTGTTGCTGTTTGAAATGTATTTTGTTTTCTTTATAAAATAACGGGTAATCTTTAAAATTGATTTTAGATGGTTTGAGGCATTACACCAGAGAAGTAATGAGCACTAATGTCAATGATATTGGACACAAATTCATTTTAGCTTTATTTCATGTCCAGTACAATTCTGGTAAGCCTTGAACTGCTAAAGCACTGTTATTAACTCGGCAGTAACCTAACACATGGAACAGCAAACAAAAGTGATAAGAGTACAGACTGATCAGGACCTCAAGGCTACTGTCCTTTTTCTGCCGCTATAATTCAATTTCCAATTTTACTTTACATTGGACTCATTATTTCACAGTAATTTTCTTTTCTGCTTCATAGTGCCATCTGGAGGCGAAGCGAGTGAAGAGAAATCAAGGYGCAGAAATGGAAAGATGTTCATGAAGCTAATAACACCCACATTGATATAGTCATATATACATATATATGTGTGTGTGTGTGTTCACTGTATGTTCACATTGAGACCAAACACTCAATGCCTTTTTCAGATCATTTCCTGCATCCTGAAAGCAAATACACAAACACCTTTTATCTGGTTGTACCCTTGAAGAATTTCTGTTTTCCCTTAATTAAAAAATTACTCCTGCTTTTCCCACCCCCTCTGAACCCACACATTAGACTGCTTTTTAATTGGATGCTTCAAGCAATTAGAATGAAATATAAATTCTGCACTACCTGTAAGTGTTACACTTTCCTGTTCAAAATACTCTTTCAAGGGAATATCCATCCATTTGTCACCGGATGGTACCAGTAGGATTAAGTGCCGGTATAGCAGTTGCTCTCTGGGGCTTTTGCTATCCTGGGGGTTCACTGCATGAAGGATTGTACATTTAAAAAGKAGACTTGGCTTTAAGGACTTAAAAAAATCAAAATTACAAACCACCACCTAACAAATTAAAAAGGCAAGAGGAAGGGAGGAGTGTCACAGCATTAATACTCGGATGTCTTTGCTGAGGCTGGACGCATGCTCAGTCTCGGCACAACCGGTAGCAYTCCCAGTGCTTCTCCAACACTTTTATTGCTGCCAGTGCCAGGCAGGGCTGTGGTTAGTGATGTAAATCAGCACTCGCTGCTGTTGYGCTAATGGAAGAGTCACGGCTCACGGTAATAATTCCTATAAACTGACTGAGGATATTTAAGAGAACAACAGACCTTCTATGCACGCCTGGAAGAAGAACGAAAGGCTAAACCCTGCAAGTCTTGATCCCATCAGTAGTCATTACTTGTCAGAGATCTCACTCCTCTTGGCCAGATTGCTCACATGCATAATGACTACTTATGTGATTAAGGGGGCTGCAGGATAAGGCTCTACATTAGAATTAYAGATAATAAAATAATTTTTTATTCACAGCCATGTGAATCTTTGTTTGTAAGCTGTCAGWAAATGCTCGTGATCTCTAGACCTTTAAAGAAGCAAGGCTGTAAAACATCACTTCACAACCAGAAGAAATAATGTCATTTTTTGAGGAAATGCTGGATACTATATGAGGAATATTTCTCTTTTCCTGTATTATGGTAAAAATATTTACAAAAGACAAAACATGTGTTTTGTCTTATTTGGACAAGGTCCAAAATCTGGTTTTCTTCAACATGATTTTATTAGGTATATTATACACTGTTCTGCTGGAGAAAAACAACATATGGCTGAACAGTACAACTTAATCCTAACTAAAGATTTCCTGTATCTACTGTAACCTAATACAATGACAGATGCACGCTCGTATGTGTGTGGAAGGTTAACACTCCGATTTTGTTTTCGACAAATTTACTCTGCCCATTTACATCAGATCACGAGAGCAAGGGAAAAACCCGAGGAGCTGAGAGGCGGGGGATGACAGCCTGTGCTGTGGTGCCCTCTATTGAGCATCCAGCCCCTCAGCCCCAGCCCACACCAAACAAAGCCCCAGTTTCCTCTTTAAAAAAAAGCTGACTGTGCTTCCTCCTCCACTTTTATAAGGGAGGAAATGTTACTGATATCAAACAACTGTGAAGCAGTGTTGGGTAGGTGATAATGCCTGCGGTTAGGAGAAGATTTAGTGACACGCGCCTGCTACACATTATTTCCTCGGCAGATAGGAAATACTAGCAAGGCTCCATTGGAAGGAGGCAACTTGCCACTCCACTCCTTGGCCACTTGCCCAAAGGTGGTTCCACCTGCCCCACAATCACCAGTGCTCCTGCCCGARCCTCTGGCAAGGGCAAGCTGGCATCCATTCCTTTTGGAGCCGGTCTCCTGCTTTCCACATCCCTAAAAGAGCACCCAGTGGAGACGCCTCCAGAAAACAGCTCTGACCCTGCATCAGCTGCTGCTTGTGGGACTGCAGAGGGACAGGCAAGGAGTGGGATGAAAAGGGCAAAAACACTAGACACCTTCAGAAAATGGKTCTGCTTTAGGCAGATGAATTTTGGGTGGCTTGGTCACTCCAGCACCAAGGAAGCCCAGTGCATGACCCTTCACAGGAAGGACTCTGTGGATGCCCTCAATCCCCTGTGGATCCTAGCGTTTCTTTTCTCAAAACTGCTAGTATGTCTTCCACCCCATCATAAACTGCATGTCTGAAAAGTAATTGAAGAGTAGTCCATCTCCCTAAATCACGTAATTTTTTGCGATCCAACTATATTCAATAAAAAAGTCATCAATTGAACTTAACTTCATTCAAAATGGCTTTGTTAATTAGCTTTCTCATTAGCTTTCTCAAACCCAAATGATCTTCTGTGAARCCAATCTAAATCCCAAAGTTAGACCTGCCCAGCTACAAAGGGATGAAAGCAAAGAGGATCTTCCAGAAGCTAAAATTACAAAATAATGTTTTAATTTTGACCTCTAGTTTAAGAATAAACTTCTCTTGTGAATTTACAGGCATCCTCAAAGGCCAAGGATACTTAGCAGGAAAAACACATAATTTTCCTTATTCTTACAAAGTAATTCATAATTGAAAAGGGGCTAGCTGACTTCCGTTAATGCAAATGGCCTCTTGAAATATTAAATTATACCCAGACAAGAAGTGAGCTTTACAGCTCTTCATCACTCAGAGATAATAACCTGTAAGACAAGTAGATYTTACCCTGCACTTGTGCAGTAAAACCGAATCAAAATGGGACACCTGTTCCCAGATTTCACCAAAGTCTAGTGCTTTGCTTAACTTCCCAGCTGTTGGTCTAATTCTTATGCTACTGTGCTCAGCACGAAGAGGGTTCACCAAGGCTCCAAGTCTGCACTGTGCCCTGTGCAAACTCACCCTGGAGTGGGAGGTGAGGAAAGACAAGAGAACTCTGCAGCTATCCCCGTACAGGCAATATGGAAATGTTCCCAGGGCCAGAAGCTGAGCACTAGAGAGCCTCCCTGCTCCTTGGGCACAAGGCTCCTGCATGGGCAGGCACCAGAGCAATCTGGACACACAGCAGCAGGCACAGGGCACCAGCCAAGATGTCAAAAGATATGAAACCACTTTTCAGAGATATCTTGGATCCTGATAACATCTGGGATTCCTGCATCCCTTGCAGTCATTTAGAAATGTTACCTGTGAACCTCTCCCTTGACAGATCCACAAAGGCTCGAATCTCATTTCTTCCCACTACCACAAAGAAACACCAGCAGGACTGTGAGCTTTTGCACAGTGTCATTGCTGAGGTGAATGGAGCTCTCAGCTTCACAGTTTGGGGTTATTGCCCCTTTCCAATGCATCACAAAGTTCCTGGTTCACCTGGCATTGCCACTGCAGAGCTTCAGTAAAGCCAAATGTGTATGTTACATATGTTATATACACATATATATATATATATGTAACATATATGTATTGTACATAGATGATATTATACAAATAGAACAAACATATACACAGAGGATACGCATATATTTTACAAACATATCCATATTACATCTATATATAATATATAGATATGTATATTTTATAAACTCACGCTTGTTACAGAGCGCGACAAATTCAGTTTCAGAGAAAGAATCACAGCGTTTGGTTCAGAGCCATGAAATGGGAGGGGGAAAGCATCATGGCAGCGTTTCTGAGCCAATAGGAAGATCCCTTCTGTGAGCAGCAGCAGCTGCCAGCAGAGGGCAATGGCACAGCACACAAGGTGCCAGGCCAATCCATCTCAACACAGCCTCTGAAAATTCCTTCCCAGGGCTGAGAGAAAGCTGACACCTTTCTAGCACTCAAATTCAAACATTTAAATCATTACCTACCAACTGAGTCGCCTCTTTTCCCGCTCCTGGACTAACAGCAGCACAGTGAAATGCTCCACATGCTGTCATTTTCTGCTGTCAGTACCAATTTAAGCTACAGGCATCCACAAAATTGGAGCGTGAGGATGTGTTTTAARAGAATCTACCTCTCTGTTTTGCCTTTTGAAGCACAGACAGCAGCTGTAAACATTTCTGATGCTGATATTTTGTACCTTGCTACCAGACTGGCTTCTTTGCAATTATAAAATGAGAGTGTTTTTCGAAATGCATTTACTCCATGGGGCAGCACAACTAAGAAAGAACTGCTCAGAGCCAAGAACCTGAGCTACCATTCTTCATATCATCATTGATATGCTTCTAGGAGCACAGCCCTTCCATTTCACTGCTTTTCTTTCCTGAGGTGCAAAAAGCCCCTCTAATCCTTTTCTGCTTTCCCTTCTCTGTCTCACATGCCTTCAACCAGTATTTATTGGCTGACCTTTTGGCCACAGATCCTATATAACTGTATACAGAATATTATTCCTGCAGCAGTTAGCTCTCCCTGTCTTCAGCTGCTAAGCCTAACAAATATACCTCGGGACCAATGATTTGTTGTCTGTTAGGGAGGCTTATAATACACTGACTGGAAAGAAGATTAATAGTCTCCACTTGCAGTGTTTCACCATGCCCTTACCCCGAGCAGCAGCCAAAGACAGCCGGCAGATGCACACACAGCTCCCCCCCAGCAGCTGTGAGCAGCCTGCTCTCACACCAGCAGCACCAGGGCACTGCTAGAATGGCAGAGAAAAAGCACAAAATTCCAMCAACAGTCTCAGCCACTGCAGAAGGTGAAGTGGTCACAGCAGTGGGACTAAGGGATGCARTGCTGGAACTCACACAGCACTCCCTTGTAATGCAGGTCAGGCTCCAGCTAAGCCTGATGGATGGTTTCATACAGATTGCAGCTACACTGAAAATGATCACAGCTGCTAGAGCTTGCTTATGTTAGTRAGACTGGTAAACAAAGGAATTTGCATTATAGGAAAGCTCTGTTAGCAGATCTCACTGGTGAATTCTCCCAGACTTCAGGGGGTTTAGCCCACAAAGATACTGATTTTCATGAACATAAAGGGGGGGCTTTCTTCTTTGTACAAGAATATTTAGCTCATTATTTAAAGCTAGAAATAGACATCACAGTGAAAGATCTCCCAAACTTAATATGCAATTGCAAAGTGATTTAAATCCAAACCTATTACCTATAATAAATACAATGAAATGCAGTGGAAAAACCCCAGTTGAAGCCTCCTCATAATCAATARAGCTGAAGTCACGTGTTTGAAATATGACAGTGCAAATAAAAAATATAACCAAACATGTAGCATGTACAGATGACCACACGGTGGCTCTCAAGTACCAGAGATGAGCTATTTTAAACCAGAAATTGATGACCTCATAAAAATTCCAACATCCCTAGGATAGGCTGTACTCACTTTTCCAGGAATTCTTGCAGACCCTGACGGCGATGGTCCACGTGATGAGGATTGTTCATATTGAAAAAGGGCGTTTTAGATGGCAGGTCAGGTAGCTGTCTTTAKGAACAGGAAGAAAATACACAGTTAAAACCATGCAAGAAACAGCAGAGAAAAATGCAGCAAGCAAATGCCAACCCCAAGCGTGAGAAAATCATGGGTCATGTTCCAGAAGCTCTTGAAATCAATTTGGGAACACAAGATTAAGAAACTAAAGGGCTTCTCACAGGCCTCAAWGGGGGAAATAAATTAATGTGATTTTTCTGGTCCAGTTGTTAAGCCTGCCTCCATGCCTGGCTGGATCTCTCATGGTGCTTGTAAGACCTAAGCACATCCAAGGACAGAAAGGAGGTATGAACACCCACACTAAATTGTTATTTCTGCTGCCTGTACATAGCAAAATACAGTTCAGGTCTCTTACAAATTAGAGAGGGGCTCACCAAACAAAGGCTATCAGTACAAACCACGTTCTTGTGGGTTTAAAGCACATAAAATGCAGAATAAACTCGAGCTAGTTAGAAACACAGACCAGATTTCTGCAGTTCTCAGAATTAATACTAAACAATCCCTYCCTCCAYGATTGCCAGATTACAGATTATTAARCAGCCATATATAAAGTCACTCACAAAAGCACTGCATGGCTCTGAAGCCTCTGCCGGAGCCAAACAAATTCTCGGAAGCGTCGTCTAACACAGGATGTTTTCCTTGTAAAGCATATACTGTTTGTCTGTTGGGAAATAAAAAACATTTTACTTTGCAAATCAGCTTAAGCTAAAGTGCAGGCATGGTATTAAAAACACATCCAAGATGCTATACTAATGCCTGGGACGCCACTGGAAAGCTTGACATTAATTCATTTTATGTTAAGGACYGTGCTTTACCTCAGGCAGGACTGGTGACAGTTTTTACTGCTTCTCAGGGAAATATTTTTCATTGCTTTCTTCTTAAAAGCAAGAGATTTGGATTACAGTACAACTTACGGTAATGGGGAAAATAGACCTCAGAAGAAAGTTTCTGCAGATAATGTCAATCTTTGCAGGGGAAGAAGATAATTTTTAGCTATTCTAGTTACAATCCTGCAAACAGCTACATAGAGCTCTTCCAGTGTTCAGCTCCGCTTAAATCAAACCAAAGAAACCAATGGGACTGCCCTCTGCAAATAGCAGCATTTGGAAATTTTCCCACAGAACACTATTAGTTCACTACGAAAATGCCAATTCATCAAAAGAGAAACAATTTGTGGAAATTAAATGCTTTTGCCAAATTTTCCCAAGGAGCATACATTTAGATGAAATCCCACATAGCAGATAGGACTCCATTAGAAAACTGCCTCCAGTCCAGCCCACCCTCCCTGCCTGCCAAGAGCCATAAATCCAGAGAGCCACAAAATGCAGATTGTGGAGAGCACAAAGATGACAGCCTTCTGGAATAGAGGASCACTCAGGACACCTGACAGTTTAAGAAGATAAATGCTCTAAGAGCTGGGTAGAAGGGGAACTCAGCTGGCYTAAAAGTCAGGCAGACACAACACTTTGAATCCACTGAGAAGTCTGGATGGCCCGACTGATTTAGGGACTTGATCTCCAAAAGCCATTGTGGTGGCAGGAAGCTGAGTTGATGCTGAACAGCTTCAGAGATGCCCAGTGCTGGATCACTGAATGCTGGGTTTGGCTGGGGGAGAGTTAATTTTCTTCACAGTAGCTTGGACAGTGTTTTAGATATGTGCTGAAAACAGTGCTGATAACACAGGGATGTTTTTGTTGCTGCTGAGCTGTGCTTGCTCAGAGCCAAGGCCTTTTCTACTCCTCACCCCACCCCACCAGCAAGCAGGCTGGGGATGCACAAAAAGCTGGGAAGGGACACAGCTGGGACAAGTGATCCCAGCTGACCAAAGGGATGCTCCATACCCTATGGCATCATGCTCAGCAATAAACCAGGGTGGAAATTGGCTGGGGGCTGCCACTCAGGGACTGGCTGGCATCAGTTACTTGGTGCTGAGCATATGTTTTCATTTGCATCACTTGTCTTGCTACAGTTTTATCAATTTTTTTAATTTTCCTTATCATTATTATTGTTACTATGATTATGATTATAATTATTTAATAATATTATGAATGTTATTATTACATTTTGATTATTAAACTGTTCTTATCTCAACCCATGAGTTTTCTCTCTTTTACCTCCCCAATTCTCTTCCCTCCATCCTGCTGGTGGGGCAGGAGGGATGTGAGCAAGCAGTTGTGTGGTGCTTAGTTGCTGGCTGGAGCTGAATCACCACACGCTGGGTCTAAATGACATCTCCTCAACTTAGCAATCACTGAGAAAGCCTTGATACACTTTTATTCAGAGGCACTGATGTCTTTGAAACAGTAATACAGCACCCACCCTGACAAATCTACTGAATTTCTATTTACCAGAAATAAAAGATAAAGTTTTGGAATCAGTACTTGAAGCACATTGCAAATTTAGAAGTTTCACAACTCTGATTGCCACACAGGAGAGGAATTCTTACCACACAGACATTTAATAAGTCATCATTTGATTGCTTGCTCTCATACACCAACCGCTTAACTCTTCCACACAGGAAGGAAATGCTTTTGGTCGTGCTCCAAGCATTAACCATGCAACCTGGTGCTCTCAAATACCTTTATTTTACACTGCAATTCAAATCATTGGATCTAGATTTGGCACATTAGGAKAAYRCCTTATGTAYGTCATCCACCAAAGAACAATCAACMAAATTATAAATAGRACAGATTTAAGGCACAAAAGSACCACTATTCCAAGTGCATTCCCATTAACATATGGTGGACTACAATCATAAACACAAATGTGATTACTTCACACATCCAAACACCACTAAATTAGCTTAATATGAATGTCAAGGTACATTGAAAACAACCATATTGCAGCAACCAAATAACTTGGCAAAAGGAACTGAGGAGAATTTAAAGTACAAACTACCAGATAATTACTTGATAAGAAAGTTGTTTTCCAATGAAAACCTGAACATCATCATTCTTCTATAATGGTATCACTGACTATAACAGTGTTCTGGTTGATAAGAAAAGCTAAGAATTTTCTGTTGCAAGACACTGTGGAATGCACATGTGAACACAACAGGCTCAGCCCCAGCTCTGCCAGACCTATTACATGGCCATTGGCCAACTCACCTTACCTGTTCCACTGCATCCCAGCTGTTAAAAAGAGAATAATAGCCTCCAGCATCCCAGAAGCAAAAATTCCATTTATATCCCAAAGACAACCCTGGCTGGGACAAAAACAGCGGTAAAAGCCAAAAAAACCTGTGTGATATTTTCATACTTACATGAATAAATATCTCATAGTCTATGTAAGAATACCACGAGTCTTCTTTCTGTATCCTGGGGTCTCGCACCAAGACAGTTACAAATTCCTGTAAGTGCATAATAAAAATCAAGCAATTAATTTCAGAAGACAAAGGCAGCCTTAAAGACTCTCTTGATTGTTCTGCCGTTCCACAAACTACTGACTCAGATTAAAAGCTGAACTGCTGCTTTATTGAATTTTGCAACCCTATAAATGGAGAAGCAAAAAGCAATGAATCATCTGAGCTACACCACATGTCTGGGAAAGTCCCTGCCAAATTGCTAGCTAAAAAGGAGTATTTCAGATTAAGTAATATTGGGAAAGTCATACGTGTTTCATGCTTGGGAGCATGAAACACCTAYCTTGGTAGTGAACTAAACATCTAACATTCAAAGACACACATGTAAAGGAGAATGTTTAGCTGTTTTAGGCTCTTCCCACATTTGCAAGCAGCACTGACAAAAAGTGCAGCTGAAATGCGGCACCTGGGCATTTCTGTTCCAGTCTGCCCCTCAACCTGCCCAAGAAAGAAACATAGCTGCAGAGCATAATTTCCCATTTTGGGGGGACAATTATATAGAGTATTTGTTGTAKAAGTTGTCACATCTAGCTTATTGCCTTCTAATTTCTACATTTATATAATAATTTAGATGGATCSCCAAAGAGACAGACAGAGGCCTGTGGATGTTACTGTAATGGAACTGGACATCACTAATGGGAATTGGAAGAWAATTAAGAATTAAATGTTTCTGAATACCCTCAGCTAATGATCAAAACTTRTTCTAGGAAAAAAAAAWMATYAACCAAAAYCCCCAAAATMCTGAGAAATCTGTATTAATGTTAAGATGAAAAGTATCCCTTTAAAATATAAAGGTCAAAAGTTTGTTTAAATACCTGCTGCTTCTGGAGCAAATGCATGGGYTGCCATACTCCAGTTGCTCAAATAAGMTATTCACCCCAAAAGCTAAGCCAASCACACWGCAGAGACTTGCTAAATAAAAGCATTTCMCTTTAAACTGTAGATACACTCCCCCTGAGAGGAAGGCACTGCACAAGATCTCCAGGTACAGGAATCGACTGTGGGAGGAATGACAGTGTTTCTGGTAAAAAAACATGCTTTTTTTAGTACATATTTGCATAAATCAAGAAATCTTGAACTGGAAAGCTCTCAAAATGTGTCTTCCTATGCACAAACCAAAGACATCAGAAATAAAAGCTTTACTCTTCAGCTAAGCCCCTGATACACTGCAATGTACCACAACTGCAAACCTTCAGTGGACTGACAGGAGAACTATAAAAACCTTGAAAGGCAAAGATGATACACTTTTTTCCTAAACAACTATTCCATTCTGTAGGTAGCAGGGAGGCATTTGAGGTCTGGATTAAACAATTTTCCTCTCAGATTTCCAAGTGTTAGTGCTTCGAAGTTTGGGAGCCTGTGGCCTGATGGCAGGACAYAGCCTTTGGTTTTATGTCACTTAGCCCAGCTCCTGTCACCAGGGTGTTTTCTGTACTATTGGAGGTTACCCTTTTGGTGAATATCATGAACACCTTGCCAAAGAAAGTGCATTTGAAAAGCTCCTGCCACCTCTGCTGCTTTCTTCCTCGCTCAAGAGCACCAGAGGGCCAATTCTCCCCTGCAGCGTTTTAACCCCATGCCAGCGTGACACAAGAGGAACAAATGAACAGAGCTTTAATCATTTCTACCAGCTGAGGGTCATGCCTTTACTTTTACAAAAACACTAGTGGGAGATATGAGGAARTTTTTCCTGCTCCTGATAAGATGATCAGCAATGCACTGAACACAGAGGAGGCAACCATTTTTTGGGTTGTTTTTCTCCACCTGCCTATCATATTTACCATATGTATCTATATCAATATATGTATAGCATACTTTCAGACCCACTGTACCATCTTTTTGTATCACAAGTTTTTGTCTTCCCCAAATTCCTATCTCCCTGTGTCCCACTCTTTTCCCAAGCTGAAAGCACTTTTCAATATACTTTCTCTCCTTTGCTGAGCACTAAATGCACCAGTCCTGCAAGTGGAAGAAGAGAAATWATGCCAAGAAGCTTCAAACAGGACACTGTTTCCCTCTTCCCTTCAACTGCTGCAGCACAGGAGCCACAACCTTGGGCAGTCTGCTTATAATCTGACCTTGGTCCCCTTCCTCTCATCTACCRCTGTCTCAGCAGCTTTTTGTTGACCTTCCTTTTGTCCAGGTTCCCCAAATTACCCCATTTCCAAATAACCTTCTATAACCYTCTCCTTTGTACAGAATCAAAATAGCCTTTGAAGTAAAATGCTTCTTTCAATCCTTCATTATACCAAAGTATTATGATTAAAAGTTGCTATTGGATACGCTGTGTGTTAGCGACACATCACCTTGCAAATCATTCCAAACCACAAGATTTACATTGGAAAACTTCTGTACACTTTTAACTTGCAATTAACTGGTCACTGAGTTTCAATATGGAGGAAGTTAAAACTCTTCAGACTCTACCTATCAAGAGGAGATGTGTTGTGGGTGCTGTGGCAGGCAGTGTCTAAGCAAAAAAGAACTGAGGCAAGAGAAAAAATGATCCGCAAAACAGAAGAGCACCTCAGCAAACTGCAGCCCTTTCACACAGTCATTGTCAGCTTTGATTTGAAAAAAACAGGATTTCAACAGAAGACTGGGTGTTCCTTTTTTCCCCCCTTTATTTACTGAAAAATGACAACACTAAGTTTAGAATGAAGCAAGAATGAACAGTAAGCAACTAGAAATAAAAACTAAAAATGCACGTCCTTTCTCAAGATCTAGGGTTACTTCCCCTATCAATCTGTTGAATCCAGGAAGTGTTAATCCCAATTCCCATTACAGATTTTGCTGCTCTGAAACAGTGGCCTTGCACATGTAGACTGTTCCTTCTCTTTTGACCTTTAAGTCTTTCACAGAACACAAGATCCCACTGGGAGAACAGCATTGATTTAATCCAAGCAAGCCTAACTGCCCAGTATAAACAAGGATCCACTGCCAGGAAAGGTGCTTGTGCTTTCACATCCCTAGAGATGCAGGCCTGTAAAAAACAAAATTCCTGTACAGGCTATGCTATGGTCGAAGCAGAGTTAGATGGCAGAATATTCCTCCACAAGATTGCTTTTGTGTGCTCAGCCCATCCTGCATTCTCTGGTGACAATCAGGAGATTACAGCAGTACTGAGTAACAATTATTTTTCTCTGTATGTGTTCATTCCCTCCCCATCTTGCTATACTCAATAAAATGACTATTCTCAAATAATGCACTGTCCACCTGGGGGAGGTGACACTGACCCCTCCCTCCCACAGACCACTTGAAGACTAACTTAATCATTTGTCACAAAACTGTATTGCAGTCCAGCTGTACAACACAGGAAACTCAGTACAAGAGCCAAGGTTTCAGGGACTTTTTACTTTTACCAGCTGCAGTCTTGTCCAAGGTATCTTATTCCCCTGCCCAGTGYTGCTTGKTTTTTCCAAAACTGCAGACCTAGCTACTATGCCACATTACATGTATTTTCAGTTTCATTTGTTGTTTTGGTTTTTTTTTTTTCTTGGTTGTGTTGTTGGAGGTTTTTTTAAATTGAGGGGCACAATTTATATCAATGCATTCAAGAATGATGTGTGTCCTGTAATGCTTCAATGCAACAATTCTCTCAAAACCAAAATTTACTGCTGACACTTCAAAGTGTCCAGGCTTGGGCATGGAGGCCTCTTGCACTGGGAACAATATATACTTGAGAGAGCTTTAATATATATACTCAACAGAAAGCTTCTGAAACATGTGGCATCTCCTTTTTATTCCTCCTCTCTGRAAACTGCTAAATTCAAAGGCAAAATATTTTCTATCCAAATTGCTAATGCTACAGCTTTGATATGGATCCCAGCAGCCATGCTGGCCTGAACATCCTCATGAATATTCAGAATCTTCAAATCTGCCCCAAACACACTCATAAGTACTTAACAAGGAGGAATTGCAGAGCAGTGRATGTGCCTTTTAATTCCTGGCTAAACCAGTTTTAGGTTTTTGGTGGTATTTTGCTTCCCTGTCCTCAAGGCCAGGAGCAATCCAAGTAGACAGGGTCACACATGAATGACAAAATGGMCAAAGTGACACCCAAACCTGGATTACACCTACTCCCTCATGGTTACAGATCTGTGCAAAGAACATGAGTGCTGACAGCACAGCAAAAGGACAGCACTGAGGTCACACAGACACAAGCATGGAAAAACAAAATGTTCCTTTTGGATCTGCCTCAAAAGGAAAAAYACCCCATGAAGGCAGCTGAAGCAAACACAAGAAATCTTTCTCTTCTCAGTTTTCTTTTTCTGTTATCTTTCCCTTCTCACTTTTCTCTTGTTGGATATATTTCTGCATAATGAAATTGGTTCCTCAGAGATAAGGATCAGGCAGAAGCCCTACTATATAGAATTTGACCACAAAAAATGCATCCTTCTCAGAAATCTCTAACATTTTCCTACTAGCAAAATAGGAAAWCTGACATGGAAATATCTATTTTTAATATGGAGGAAAAATCTRCCACAAGAAGGAGGAATAAAAACAATCTCACGTTGGTTGATTATTTGTATTAATCATTTCAGTTRCATTTTAATTCAAATGTCTGTGCTCAGGACTGCATCAGGTGACAAGCTTGTGCTGCTGTTACCCATCTGATTAGTCAATAACCCCTGAAGAGTAATTTTCCACAAAGCTTCCAAGAAAAATAGCGTATCCCATCAGGTTGCCTGTTAGTAAAAGGATCAGCCACAAAGAACATGGGGCTTTTCACTCTGTGGCTGTTGGCATCTTCACTCCATGCATGCTGTGTAGTTAGGCTGATAAAGGACTAACAGCTGAGACAAAATAATTTGTTGAAACTTTTAATGTTCATTGGACTGAAGAGAACATACAAGTGGGATTCTTGTGGTCCATGCAGCTGGTAATCAGAASTCAGACCCAGCTCCAATCATCATGTCCAAGAAAGCCTTAAAGGCTGATAAAAAGAAGATTCCATCGAAATCCTTCTCTCCCATTTCAGTGTCTGAGGCGCTGATGCACAGTCACTTACTCTGAATGRGTATCTGATTCTTCCATCAGACTTTAACAGAAGGAACTGGCACTGCATCATTCCAGAATATTCTGTATCCTGGCAACTAAAAGTATGAAGAATACAACCCATCTTCCCTGATCTATGCAAACCTTAATGAAATTCAATCCACAGCTGCCAAACTTGAATCCCTTTTTATTAAAGCTTAGATATGACTTACCTGTTTTTCATGTTTTGGCGTCATCTTCTCTGGTTTGCAGTAAAAAAAATCAACCTGAAAAAAACCCCAGAATAGACATCAGATTGACATTTAGTCGTTACATAAAGATCATTATCACTTTTGCTATTTTTTTAGTGGACAGTGGAAAAAGCCGGGCTTAGTGCCTTATGTAGAAGAAAATGTTTGCATTAAATACATATATGAATTTATTCATTTTAAAAAATAATCTTTTTTAGAAACATTGGGCTAGCAATGTTCTCTATATATCTGTCATACTTGACAGGCCGAGTGATGCCTGTCCATCTCTGGAATTCAGTGCTTTTCTTTGCTCCAAGGGCCACTCAGGGTTCATCCTTGTACCCATCTCCCCACAGCTCTGCTCAGCCAGCATTCCCAGTGCACAAACAGCCGAGGCAGAGCTGCCTKTGCCTCACCTCCAGGTGCTCAAGCACAGGTCTGTGTGACTGCAGCTGAGCTCCAGAGACTCTAAAACATCTGAGCCAACAGAATCAAATGGTCCTCTCAACCATTTCCCTGAAACTCAGAGAACTGGAGACACAAACTGCTCGGATCCTGAAGGCCTGCTAAAACTCGGGCTACATTTCACAGCCTCCGTGGTTTCCAAACCTCCATGTAGGCAAGGGTATAATTAGACGAAATTGAAACACTCCTGTCATWAATTTACATTTAAAACCTACTCTTTCTCTGAAAATCCCACTGAGTTTTTAACTGTGTTTGCAGTCCAAAAAATCAGATGATTTGCTCAGGACAGGCACCCACATGGGARGAGCAGGATAGCTTTATTTACTCGCCAGCTTACACACACATCACCTCCTGTTCAGTGGTACRGAGCTTGAAGCTGCTCTTGTTATTGTACAACATCTCTAAGTCGAGCCCAGCCAAGGAGTGCTGAACACCCCACCCCTGCCCAATGTCTCTTACAAATGCTTTCAAATTACAAGCTCCACCCATTTTAGTAAAACAGGGCGCAAAGATAACACACAGACATTTCTTTGACCAGGAAATTATACTGGAACAAGCACCCCATTGTCGAATTTCCATAGGATCAGTTATATCCAAATATGATACTCTATTTCCCAATAAAAATGCCTATATAGATGTTTAGGATTTCATCCTAAAGGGTGCCCTTGTACAGCTCCCTTCTCCATAAAGATAAGGCCATCATTTCACTTCCATAGCTAGAATGGTACTGATAAAATAGGAACATCAAAAACACACTCAAATTTTCTTTTTTTTTTAAACTCCATTTATTTATGCTGAACTGGCATGCATGTTCTGAGCTGAAGTTATAGAAGAGCACTCAAACACTTCTTGCTGCAGAGTCAAGCACCTCTGCAAGGTGGGGGTAAGAATTTGGCTCACCGGTTCCAACTGCTCTTAATGCAAAAGTATATGAGGAACTTTCCTTTTGGGGAGAGAAATGGCTTTCAGCTCACAGGAGAGCACWAGTACACATCACAGACCTTTCATGGAATTGCACAATCATTTTGGCTGCYTCCAGGATATGAAGTCCAATCTCTGACTGACCACCACCTCGTCCACCAGGCCATGCCCTAAGGCCCATGTACAATAATTTCCTGTATGGATGGTGACTCCACCAGCTGCCTGGGCAGTCCATTCCAATGCTTAAAAAGCCTTTCTGTGAAGAAATTCATCCTGCTGTCCAATCTGAACCTCCTCTGGCGCAGCTTGAGGCCATGTCCTCTTGTCCTGGCTGCCTGGGAGAAGAGCCTGATCCCCACATGGCCACATCCTCCTTTCAGGGAATTGTAGAGAGCTATAAGGTCAGCTGCTCCTCAAAGGACTCACTCTCCAGACCCTTCCCCAGCTCTGTTGMTGTTCTCTGGACATGCTCCAGCACCTCAATGTCTTTCTGAAGTGAGGGGCCAGAACTGGGCACAGGAYTCRAGGTGCAGCCTCACCCGTGCTGAGTACAGACAAAAAACATTGTGCAGGGCTTGGGCTGATTGAAGATTCTTTCTGCTATCTCTCCCCACTGAGTACAGTTGAAAATCTATATAGTTTGATGTTATTTTCTCTCCTTTCTGCTCTGGTAAAATGTGGGGTGTTTTTTTTTTTCAAAATGGCAATTCAAATTTTTTTTCTAGTTCTGTATCTTTATTCCATCAAATTCTGCAGCTTTTTTCTCTCCTATGTCTATGCTGATTTAAGTGAGAAATTATGGAAGCCAAAAATATCTCATTCCTAACACTGCTAGTGAATGACAAGGCTGAAATAGCACTTTTCAATTTGTCATCTGTTTTTCTAATGACCAAGTTATGTGTCAGTGCAGGTTAGCAAGAACAGCTTAAACTCCAAACAGCAACCATAATTTAAAATATTTAATGGCAAAAAGAAATTAATATTGCAACACCAAAAAGCTTCCTAAAATATTTAAAATACGTCAGTTTTTCATCAAGTAATCTGGAAAAATAAAAAATCAGTAAGGGAAACACAAGCCTCCCAAAGCTGCCTTTTTTCACTGATTTCAGGGAGATTGCTCAGTCATGCTGCTGCAGCCACTTGCAAACACACTAAATGCAATATTCTGTCTGGTAGCAAGATACATATTTGGGGACTTCTGTAATACATAGAAAAGCCAGAACACACAGTGAAGCCAGTGAAAGTTCTGCTTATGAAGTGGTCTTTTTATCTTGAGAAAAAAGCTACCCAAAATACCACTGATGGAGAGAAGCAGATATCAGAAGACAAACGGGAGGCTTTCAGTCTTTTCACTCTAAACAAAATTTCCTCTGACAGGGAAATGAATGAGTGCTGGGAAACAGAATCAAAAAAGCCAGCGGTAGATCTGTAGTTCTGATAAAACACTTTCTGTTGTGACTGGGAAAATGGCCCCACATTGATTTGAGTATGTTTTTGTTCTGCTTCTGATCCATTATCAGTCTGAAGACTTTTTTCATTTATCAGTTTCATATAATTAGTGTAATAACTGCTCCTTGCGGCACATTTTTTGATGGTTCTTAATTGCATAACCAACAAAATCGCCAGGGAACAGCTCCACAACCACCAACAACAACCACTCAAAAGCAAAAAGATTACGTAGGATGAACTGCCATACTTCCTGTGCCTAAAAAAGAATCAGGAAGAAGAGGGGGAAAAAACCACCAGTACTGCAGTGCTTTTCATACGGAAAACAGATAAACTGCAGTGTTATTCCAAAGGGTAATAGATAAATAATAACAGGTATTATATTTTATTTAATATTTGAGAGATTAATTTTTATTTTAAAATCTAAATTAAAACAGATAATTTAATATTACTAAGGAAATACCCATTAATAATGTAGATGGATTGCTCCTAAAGGAGGAAGTAATTTCTCCCCAGCGTTCCCAAACTCAGAGATGAAAACTCAAGCAGTAGCACAGACGAAAACCACATCAACTTGCTCTGAGAATGGCATGAACAAATGCAAGCCCTCCTGGCTGCCTCCTGGTAGCTGTATTAAGCTGCACTGAATTTCACTCATTTCTGGGGAGTGGTGTGCACAATATCCTTATTTCTCTGGGAGTGCTCATGGATTCCATGTGGCCAGTGTCTGCTCTCAAGRATAAATGCTGGTAGTCAGCTCATCCATCCATCCACCTTTGGTTATTTCTAATCATATAACTAAATGACCACCTTCAGCATTTAATGGGGAAGTGTGATTTATTTTTAGACCTTGGTGATGACTATTCAGTCACAGGCAAAGTCCTCAGCTGTGCTTTCAAGGTTGTTCCCATCATCAGTATCAAATGAAACTTTTATTCAAGGCTTCAGTATGACCAAGAGAGAGAGAGATGAAAATTGAATCTCTAAACGCTTACAAATCATTCCTGCATTTTATGTTTTGCTCACCTTAAGACTCAAAAAAAGTCATAATCATTTTCATTAACCGCCTGTAGAAAGTTCAGCTGCATCTGTATGTGGAGTTCATTATCAAAAACATACCCATGTGCACCTGGCCACATTATATTCCTGAAATTTGGATGGATTTGTAAGGAAAATACACATGCAGGGGTGATGGTAGAAGGGGGAAGAATATGAAGAATAAATATGAGATGATGCTAGCTCTGGAGAGTTCAAAAAACCCCAGAACCATAATAAGCTCAATTTCATGCTAAAACATAACTATTAYTAAGATTTGGGATAGAATAATGCAAATTTCTTTTGGGGAGCATACATTGTACTTGCAGGAGCCTCAGGTTCCAGACTAATTCTTAAAGGTCAGTCACTGGCAAGGAAAGTCACTGATGCAGAAAGAGCATCTCCTGAGATGGCTGTGCCACTGCTTTCCAAGGGAGTAGGAAATAAAGGAGATAAACCCCACTTAGTACTAACTCACAGATGGTCAGAAACATGGATAAAATATTACTATAGCTTTAAAATGAAGGGATAACAAGTGGGAGAAGGCAACGTTAACTGGTTTATGGRAAAAAAAATTGTAAGATCAATTGCCTGAAATTGTAAGATCAAAAATACTGATACACGTATATATCCATGGAAAGGTCTTCTATTTAGCAGTGACATAGGTGGGACTTACGCTGCAACCTCAGAATACAAAAAATAGACAACACCTTGAGGGCTTATTCCCCAGTTTTGAAGAGAGAAAAAAAAAAAAAAAGAGAAAGTTGTATGTATGAATATATGCCACCTRTATAAAGTGCACCATTCTGTGTTGCAAACTGACCACATCCTAACAYAGCTTGGCATTTACAGCAATCAGCTATGTGGCTATCACAGAACTACTGYTCTTGTTGATGGGAAAAATTGTATTCAAAACCCTCAAGCAGGGCCTTTCACTCAATCTAGATCAACTCAAACTCAACGTAAGCAAATGCYTTCTACCTCCCCTGTTCCACTTTAACACTTGGGGTCAACCCAACTGCACTGATCAGAGTCACAGTCATGAGCTCACTTCTGCTCCTCACTGTCCACAAACCAGATTGTGAGGACTGAAACTCCAGACTGTGCAGGTCAYAGAGTATCTTTCCTTCACTCATCTATCCTGATGGTTGTTTGCCTCACTCTCCCTC